TGTGTGTGTGTGTGTGTGGCGATGCAGAGGAGAGTGTGGGCAGATGGGCTCCGGTGTTCAGAGTGAAGGCGAGAGTCACCTTCGTCTGTCCCGAGTTTGTGTGTGTGCATCTGAGTGCAAATGAGAATATGTGTGGCTGTGCAAAGGCCCTCATAAGTGCTAATGTACTTATATGTTCATTCATATTCATGATTATATACATGCACGTGTTGGTGAATTAAAGCAAAGCAGTGTGTGCAGGAGGATGCGCCAGCCTCTGTGCATGAACGTTCAGGTTTTCACTTGTCTGTGAAAACATCTCAGATAAAATCTCCTCAGCCCAGCCCAGTCTGGACCAGCGCAGCACAGCAGGAGCCCTCCAGCACACATCCCCACCTGTGTGCTCCCATTACTGCATCTCAGCTGCTGCAGCACTAATGACAACCTCCTATTTCATCAAACCTAGTTTCTATCAAAGCAACAAATTAGGGCCGCAGACAAAGAAGTGTAAGAGCGAGCAACTTTCTGACAGTGCGTGTTATGTTCTTTAAAAAACATGGCAGCCACTTTGGGTGTGTTTACTTCCAATATATCAACATACAGTAGCACCTGAATATATGGCCTTGAATAAAAAAAATCTAATAACAATATTGAGTTAAGCTCATATGTTTTTTACTTGTTAAGGTCATATACCCTTATTTCCAGTCATTATATTTGACAGATATTTGCATTTTTATTGGTTCTTCCACACCAATAAGTTGTTTTTCCTTCTGCTCCAAAAATATTATTGTGACATAAAGTCAGGAGATAATGTGTAGAGAATGCAAATTAGCTGCTGATTACATAGAAATGAAAAAAAAAACAAAATTAAAAATCCTTAACTAAACATTTTCAGTTACTTACAACAATCACTATTTATCTTGTGTCCCCGTGAGGAATTTATTTCCTCTCCTTGAGTCCAGAGCATCATCCCTGAAGTCCTGACTCATAGGCACTCCAGCAGAGGAGAATCTTTCCCACACGGGGGCTCGACCTGAGCTCTTCACCTCTGTCTACCCACCACCCTGCTGCATCTGCCCACCCGCACATCTCTCCTTCCGTAAAGCACTTACCATCCCGTGACATGCCCACCGCCAGGCACTTCTGCAGCCGGCAGTGCTGGCAGCGGTTGCGGCTGGTGCGGTCGATCAGGCAGTTCTTCTGACGGGGGCAGGAGTAGGCTGCATTGCTCTGCTGACTCCTCCTGAAGAAGCCCTGCACAGGAGAGGGGCACGAAAACACCTCATATGAACTGGTGTGTAGGAGGAGAAATGTTCAGAGGCTGGAGGAGGAAATAATGTCTTCAAAGTCTTTTAGTGCTAATAAAGTTCATTACTGACTGACAGCGATTTATTGTATTCCTGGTGGGGATATTTTTTATTTTACCGCTACCAAATAGATTCGATATTAACATAACCGTCCTGGTATTTCCCAGCTGTAATGTGTGGCATTTAAGGAGCACTGTATTTCAGTGTGTGTACAGCATGAGGGAGGTGTGTTTGGGTAGGAATGATAACTGTGGATGGTATTTTTCTTCAGAGGGGTTATTAGTGTTGATTAACGCAACACTGGCATGAGCAGTGCTAAAGGATTGCGAATGCACACCGACTGGATTCCTCATCCTTTGACTTAATGAATTGATTCCAGCACGTCATTAACATGCCCCACTCTACTGCTCCATACACATATGTCTTAATTAGCTGCTCATTGGCTGTTTAATTACAAGAAAACAGCTGACAGCTGCCAAGTTGCTTTATAATGGAGGCCATTACGGAAACAGGCTATAACTGCCAGTGACAAGCAGCACTCTTTAATAATGCTATGATTTATGGTCCAAACTTTTGTACTCGCACATATCATTAAAGGCCTCTCTGCCTGGACTAATTAGCAATCATTAAAGATAGATTTCAGCAGTTTATTCTTTAGTGTTTTGTTCCTTCCAGCTCCTGTGTGAGGGAGTGGAGCGCTGGGACGGCTGAAAGGAACTTCTCTCTCTTTTTCTCTCTCTCCTTCACACACACACACACACACACGTGTACACACTTGCACACACGCACACACACGGGAGCAAACAGCAAAGGTGCAGCCTGGCTGAGGAATGCTAATGATGTGCCTGGTGACAAGCGCAGGGACAAGAATACACTCTAAGCACAAAATTCCCCTCTCTGTGACTGGCTGGTGCATTTGTAACAGTACAAAAGGCGGCTTCAATTGAAGCAACACACTGTAGCAAACAGCCAACAATGTGCTATAATTCAAAGCACTCTCCTTTTGATCATTTCATTTCAAGAAGAGCAGGCTGCAGTGGAGGCAAAAAACACAGTGAAAAGACATGTCCCTGCAGGGAGAGACAGAGCAAGGCAGGGGAATGACTTTGTACTATTAATTGTGGTTTTCTGTGATGTCCTCCGCGGTGCTTGACCACTTTAATGATGATGTTCTCGGTGTTTACACTTCGACGTCCCCTCTCCAAACGTTCGTAAGACTTCAGCAACATTTTTCAAATCTTTTTCCCAGCAAGCAACTTTCTTTACACCTTCAATTTTTCCCTGTCTTCTCCTCACACACACAAACACACACACCCACCCACACACATACACACACACACACACACACACACACACACACACACACACACACACACACACTTCTTCCCATAGCACAAACAGGTTCAGCCTCATGATGCTTACCTTACAGCCTTCACATGTTATCACACCGTAATGGATGCCTGATGATTTGTCTCCACAGATCTTGCAGGGAATTATTTCGATTTGAGCTGCAGAGAAGAAAAGGGAAGGAAAAAAATAAATAAAATCAACATCTTGCTGTCACAAGTCACTGTACAACACCCTCACCATGGATCCATGTTGGTACATAAAAGAGCAGTGTGCTTCTAAAAACATGTCATCCGGTGGCTTTTGAATCCTCACTTCCACAGAGCCATAGCTGAATATTTACAGAGTTGTTTGTGTGTGCGTGTGTGTGTGCGTGAAGGGAGGGAGGCCATTTTAAGTCCTCACAAGCAGCCAATGTAAACATGGTGTCAATTTGCATCCTAAACACAACTTATAAGGAAAAACCCAACTGCCCACAAACCCCTAATATATCACAGAAGCACTAATACTAGGCTTGTGCAATGACAAAGACTCATTTAGCCACATGAGGAGATGTATTCCCTCTTGGAAAACCTGACTTCATAAAGCCTCTTAAACTTCAAAACCATAAAAACCTCAGGCGTAAATCCACTGTGGCCACAAAGAAGCATAACATGCCCACTGCGCTGGACGGAGCGATGGCAGTGTGTGTGTGTGTGTGTGTGTGTGTGTGTATCTGTATACACTATAAAAAAAGGGTTCAGTGGGGGTTGAGCTGTGGCGTTATACTGTTGACAGGCTTGTGATTCAGCCGCCATAGAGGACAAAATACAGAGAGGACAGGCCTCATCCATCCTTGGCCTTCTCTTCAGGAGAAGACCACAGGGCAACACAGCAGAACAGACAGAACACACAGACTTCAGAGGCACAGAACTCCCAGCTTGTCCCAACGCTCTCAGCTTTATCACTGCAGCCACTGATGCTACATCCCTCTCCACCTACACCTCCCCCCTCTGTCTTCCCCTCTCTCTCCCTCCAGAGATCTCTATCTCACAGTCCTCCACATCTCCAACATCTCAGTCCCGCCATCCCAACAGCACACTGCAGCGCCAGACGAACTCTGCTATCTGATCTAAATCGAGGAAAAGATCACTGCAGGATATTTTCTCATGACGTTATGGTTTTCCTCCAACCAGCCATGGAGCCAACCAATCAACCAAAAGAGCTATTGCAACACAAGTCTATACCAATTAAGGGAGAATATTAAGATTTTTGCTTTAATAAGATGCAATAAAAAATTTGAATCATTAAAAAGTGGTGATACATTCACTATGTCAAAGTGTTACATCAGCCTCTCCCCTCTAGCCAGGCCTATAAAGCCTTGTGTCTCTAACCAAGACTAGAAGCTTCAAATATCCCTCATATACCTTAACAACCACCCTATTTAATATAGTGTGATAACATCAAAAGTACGATTGTTGGGGTTCAATCCAGAGATCCTTGCCCATTTTAATCAGCTGCCTCAGAGCCTGTAGTGTGTCATGTGGATAATGTCCTTGTCCCTGAGGCATGCCCCGGAGAGGCCCTTAACACAGAGCCTCTAATCCACTAACCCCGGAGCCACACTCTATTCATTCAGGAATCTGTGTCTGTTCTCCTCGCACTGCTGGAGTCAACAAGACCGGCCATGTTTACATGGAATTAGCCTACATTTTAGTAAAATGAACAAAAGGGAGTGATGGAACATGCACAATTAATTCTCTTGCAGACAACACCTCCTGTGATTTGTGATTCTCACATACAATAGAGGGCACTGCACCTCGTCGGCCCGGATTAGAGTGAAATCCAGGCAGGAGGCGGGCTCTGACAACCTAACTGAGAGGGTTAATTTATAATTAATCTTTTCCTTACTGTGCACAGTTGCTTGTTATTTCGGTTAGGTCTATCGTTGTATGAGTGCACTCTATTGTTTGTTTTTGTGTTCTCCCTGCATGAGCATTAGCAGTGCAGTGTTTCAACTCCTTTAGCATTTTCAGCCTCATTACTTACATAATTTGTTCTGACATGCACTCACAACAACTGAAGCGTGTTGTAATTATGACTAGCTGTGGTTTTGTTGAACTAAAGGTTGTAGTGTAAGGCCCCAGCCATTGGGTGGCAGTGCAGGGCTGTGGCTATGGTTGTCTTGCCAAGTTAAGCCAGGCTTCCACCCACCCTATCCAACCCACAGGCTTTTGGCTCAGAGCTCCAGCCTCTGATAGCTCCAGGCTTAGGCTGCTGCTAGCTTCCCCCACCCCCACAGCATAGCTGTGAGATGCCTTCATCTTTCCTGAAGAAGCGAAGCTGGCTAGGCGTTCGCTCAGGCCTGACAGAGGCTGTGCCACATCAGGTGAAAGCAGTGGGAGTAGAGACGTGGGGGTGCCAGGCCGGGAAGGGCATGCACACACAGAAGCATGCCTCACAAAGCCCTATCTGCAGCAAGAAGGCCCTGAGTGCACACAGCCTCACCAGCTAACACCCTCTCACTCCACCGCTGCACAAGCCCCTGGATGCTCAGTGCACTCAACAGTAAAAATGGTTTGTCTTTGGACCGGCTGAGGCAGCGGGCTCTGTAGTATCTTGTAAGAGAAAAGACCTCAGTGTGAACATATAGTTATTTCCACCCAGGAATAAGCTGCTTTGAAAAAGAGTAAGGGTGGGGGGGGGGGTCAATGTGAATAAATAGAGCAGTGACACAATGGAGATCAAATACACCATTAAGTCACATACACCATTAAGTCAAAAGTTGTCCTCTTGAGTGACTGGTCCCGGTAGCTAGACTTCAGACACTGAGAATGATTTAAACTGAATTCCCCGTCAAACGCAAAGGCCTTTGCTGATGAGCACTCCCAAGCTGGCAGTCAATATCTATTGACGTGAGCTGCAGTGTTAACTGTCTCTTGGTGTGAAACAGGCAGCTGTTGGCTTGCTTGAGTTTGACCAGCACAGTGCCACTGATCCCATTCACCGTGGCCGCCTGCCTCCTCGTCTCCTTGTCTGACTGCCTGCGTTCCTGCCAGCCAGCCCTGCCTGCTCGGTTTACGACATCAAAGCCAGGCACAGTTAGATGGGGAGACATGCTAAAGCCCATCCCAGCAGCCTGCTGCTCCTCACAGCACTGCGAGATGGCCTCTGCATGCAGGCCACTTCAAAGTCACCTGCTAAGACGCCAAGATTATGCGTGAATCACATCGCAGCACAATCACACAGAGTGCATAACTGTAAGAGCTGGACAGCCACTAAACGCTGATTTCCTGTACGCAGTGTTGCAGCCTGGCATGGGTGTTTTGGACAATGGGCATGGGCATAAAGAAAAGACAGTCAAGCCGGATGTTAAAGCTTGCTCTTTGTCTGTCTGTGGCTGAGCAGTTCAAGGACACTGATTCACCACACTCGCAGGCCCTTTGAGGGGATGACGTGCCACTCAGAGCACATGTACAATAGGGCAGCGTGGCCTCTGCATGATCGCCCAGTGTCCTTCACTGTCTTTTCCAAAGACCTGAGATCAACCCACACTGCTGGAAACTACACCACATTATCAAAGACCTGGAAACTGACAGACAAATGTGAACATTGAGAACAATTTGCCAAATGCATGCTAACAGCTTACAGGGGCCTTGTCATTCTTTATTTTATTATAAGCAACACACAAGACACTGTCAGACAGAGCAATTTTTTTCCAAGCACTGCAAATGTACTATTGCCTCATTCAGAGATATAAAGGATCATTCATAAGGCATGATAACACTGTGAAGCTGAGAAATCTAGTGAAAAATTGGTGTAATATTTGGACATGCTGATGCTACTATGCAGTGTCAATTTAATAATTAGTTTACACTGAAAAGGACCTTAAGTTTACACTACAGACAAACGTTTGAGTTAGTTCTCTGTAATTTCCTATTTCTATATTGCTAACATGTAAGCTGGTGACATAGACAAAATGATATAGAGGTGAAAATCCTACAGGCTTGTGCAAACATGGAAAATCATTGGTCAAAATCTCCTGGCTGTTCCCACTGAACCCTTGGACTACTGACATAACGCTGGAGGATTATGATTATCTCTTACATTACAGACCCATGCCCAGGCCAGCATCATAATGCTGAGAGCCTAAGTCATTACGCGATTGGACCATTAACTTGTTTTCTGATTGCCTTCTGATTCACGGTAGATGTACAATGCACGTCATTCTGAAAAGAACACGTATATAATGGTAGGGAGAAAAACATGTATGCTTCTCTGTGCATGGTAGTGTGTCAGTGAGTGTGTATGAGTGAGTGTGTGTGTGTG